GCTGAGCCGGGCAGGAGCTGCTGGACAGTGCCGGGGCCCCCCCTCGGGGCCATGCCCCCCACAGCCACCGCACCGAGCACCACGGGGATGGCTCTTCCCACCCTGCACCGGCACCCATGTGGATTGTGAGCTGCCCGCGCACCCTCGAGGTAAGACATGAGCCCCCGGCTCCCAGTGCTCCATCAGCACCCACCCGACTCACCTTCCCTCCCTTCAGGGGCTCCCACAGCCCTTTCAGCACCAGTGTGGGGAGGACAGGGGGCCGTCGCATGTCAGCATCCCATCCCACAGTTCCTTGCACCTCCAGGTGCCATTAAGCCTAAACAGGGACAGGTTGTCCCTTGGCATGGGGTTCTGGCACTTCTTGGGATGGTGTCACCCAAAATTAAATGGGATTTGCTAATTTTGTGTCTTTGCGAGCCCCTCTTGCTCAAGCAAGGAGGGTGGGAGCCAGGACTCCCAGGGTGGCTCCTCCCAAGCCCACCCGGTACCAGCAGGGACCCTGAGGGTCCCACCAGCCCCTGTGCTGGCAGGGGCAGTGTCCTTGGGGCACGGTGTGACTGACCAGCAGCCGGGGCTCCTTAGGGAGTGGCCCAGGGCCCAGGTGGCCATCAAGGACATGCCAGCTCCAGGGTGTCTCTGTGCAGCTGAACCCCTTTTCCAGACTTGCACTGTCCCAGCTGCTCTCTTGATGGGTGTTTTTTTTGTCAGCCCTGAAGTCCCTTTGGCTGCGGGTCTGGTTTTCGTGGTTCTGCTCGGTTGGTGAAACACAAACGCGGCGCGGCTGCCAAGAACCCACAATACGGGTATTCTCCGGGCTGGCAGCACGGGGGGGAAGGGGCTGCTATAAATAGGGGCTCCCTGGCCCCACATGGGGAACACCAAGCTCTGCTGCTCACCTGGGGGACACCAAGCACCAGGCTTTGGTCAGGTCACTGGCAGGCTGTGCCTGTCCCTGCCACTGCTGTTTGCCTCCCTGTGCCGGTGCAGAGGGCAGCCTGACCCGGGGTGTGGGGACCCGTGGGGACACCTGGTCCCCATACCAGCAGCCATGCAGGTAATGGCAGGAGGAGCTGGGGGACCTTGGTGGTGTTGGAGGAGGCTGGTGGGGAGCTGAGGGTCCAGGACCCCTGGGATGGGCTGCATCCCTCCTGGCTGTACATTGAGGTGAGCCCAGGACTTGCCCTGGTCCCAACCCTGTAACCACACAGCTACCAGAGCTCAGTCCCCAGGCTGTCACCTTCCCAGTCCCCCAGTGCCCTTCCCAGTCCCTGCCCTGGCTGTGGGGAGGTTTTGGCCAATCCTCCTCCCTCCACCCAGAGATAAGAGGGGTGCGTGGCACAGGGTTTGGCAGCCAGGAGGGACGTGGCACGACTGGCACTGTGGGGCTCACAGGGTGGATGGGACGTTCTGACAGGACCCCAAATTATCAGCAGCCTCTGAGCACTCCTCTGGGTCCCTGCTGCAGCTCTGGCTTGTGCAGGGACCCCAGGTCCCTTTGCCTGCTTAATCCAGGCTGCTCTGGGCAGTCTGGGACAGCTCTGGGTGCCACATGTCCCTGGTTCCTCCTGGCACAGCACAGCATGTCCCTGTCCCTGTCCCCAGCCTCAGCCTGGGCTGGAGCTGACCCTGAACCCTGGCCCTGACCCCCACCCCTGCTGCCTGGGAAGGGCTTTGGGAAGTGCCTGGGGGTTTGGGAGGCATCCCGGGTGCCACAGGCAGCACCTCCTCGTACCCTGGGCCAACCCTGGGCCCACGGGGCTTCCCGAGCGCTCCGGCACAACCTGTTCCACCGCGGATTTGGTTTAATTAACGGACCCATTGTTCGAGGGGGGGGGTGGGTGAATTTCTGATATTTATTTTTTTCTCACTCCCAAGGGCTGATCCTAGCACTGCACCACTGCTGGGGCCCTGAGCCACGGGGGGTTGCGTTTGCCAGGAGAGTTTGGGGTGACGTGGGGGGTCCTTGGCCCCATCCCCATCCCCCTTGGCTGTGAGATCCGTGTGGGGTTGGGTCCCTGCAGAGCTGCAGAGCTGAGCTGTGACCCAGCACCACCCACAGCCCTGGGCTCACGCTGGCCTCGTGTCCTGGAGAGCGCAGGAGCCTCATCCCAGCCCTGCTGCCCCATCCCAGCCCTGCTGCCCCATCCCAGCCCTGCTGCCCCATCCCATCCTGTGGAGCTGGGGCCTCACTCAGCCCGTCAGCAACCAGGGAGCCTCTGCCAGGGCTGATGTAACACCCAGCACAGCCTCGTCCAGCTCGGGCAGGGAATGGGAAGGTTTTGGGAGTCCCATGAGGGTCAGTGCACTTGGGGCTGCCCCTCCAGCTCTTCTTTTCCAGGGGAAATGCAAAAAGGGAGAGAAGAGGAGAGGGAAACAGCCACCCAAAGCAGCTCCTCGGCACAAACAGGTCCCACCCATCCCGGCTGCTGGAGCAGGAGAAAGTCAAACAGTGGCCCCCGCCCTGAGAGTACAGTGCCCTTGGTGGGGCACGGCACGGGCTTTTGGGGACACTTCCCAGGGTTTGGGTCCCTCTGGTCCCAGCTGGGAGGAGGGGAGCAGGATGAGGCTGTCTGTCCTGCCGTGTCCATGTACAGTTCCACAGCCCCGCTCTGCCGTGTGTCTGGTTTACAGCTGTGGAGGGCGGAGGATGCACCATGACCTCAGAACACTGGAGGTGTTGGAGACCCCCATCCCCTCCCCAGACATCCCCATGGCCGGCACCCTGCAGCTGCACAAGCTGTTACCACTTCCCTTTTGTGCCAGGAGCAGCGTGGGGCTGGATTTAGGACTGATCTCCTACAGCTCTTCTTTTAATCCCAACCCAATCAAGGAGAGCTTTGGAAGTCAGTGCCATCTCTCAGGGAAACTGTTTGGGTGGTGGGGGCAGCTCAGTGATCTGGGCACCCCTTCTCCCTCCTCCTCCTCTCTGCGGTGCCACGGAAACCGTTCAGGGACACAGATCCAGCTCTTAACCCAGAACCCCTCCCCAGGTCCCCGTGGGCTCAGGCTGCCGAGGGGCTGGTTAGGTGTCCATGGTTCCTCTGTGTTTTTTTGAGCTCTCCAGGCTTTTCCAAGGGTGAAGTGATGGGCATTTCCCCCTCGCTGGGGTTTGGAGCAAACAGGACACCCCATTTCCCTGGCCAGTGCCCCCTGTTCTCCCTTCAGGGCTGCCTGGTTTCCTTAGGGGGGCTTGGCATGCTCCTTCCCCAGTGTCAGCTCTGTTCTTAAAGCTCCTTTTTCTGCTTTTAAACCACCAATTTTGGATGGTTCTTCCTTTTCTTCTTGTAAAATGCAATGCTGGAGGCAGAGGAGCTGGGCAGTGGCCTGGCCATGCCCATCACCAGCTTCTCCCTGGCAGGGGCTTCCCCTTCCCAAAGCCTCAGGATGGCTCTTGGGGAGGTTTATCCATGGATGAAGCCATTCCCTGGTGTTGCCATGGAAATTCAGCAGGTTCATCCTCTTCTCCATGGTCTCCAGGACTCCCTGCGTATGGAGACAGATGGGGACAGGCTGATTTTGGGCAGTTTTTCTTGCAAGAGAGTGAGGGTAATTGCAATTATCCTTTCTTGCAAGCAGAGTTCTCGTCTGGGGGTTGGCATTGGTGACCAAGGGCCCGGTGCTGCGGTGCTGGACTCGGGCTCACCGGGGAGATCTGGGGTCTGGGGGCTGCTGTGCTGGGGCACCCTCAGGTGGCAGCAGAAGGAGGGGTTTTCCATGCACAGAAATGTGTCCTTGTGGCTCAAGC